GTTAATACTATTGCATGTTTTGTCACTGGTTTCTGGATGGGAAATTGGACGTTTTCTTTGCTTCAGAGGCAATTTTGAGAATGTACCGTTCTACAATAGGCAATGGTGCTTTTAAAAACTATCCTTGTTTCGGTCTCTTTGGTCAATTTATGTTTTTGCTCGATTGTAGAGTTTTTGATGAAATTTTTAGATACATAAATGTTAGTCGTGATATTTTTTTTAATTCCAAACTATTTCTCAGTAAATGGAATCGAAAATGAATCCACTCAAACATTGTAAACTTCAATAAGTAATTTGAATTAAGAGGGTTCTTAACTGAGTTTAATATAACAAGTTGAGTCTGATATTGAATCAAAATATAAGAGAGAAGAATCACGGTTCAATAAGTACATTGAATTAGGACGGTTCTTTGGTATCTTGGCGGCGGTATGTTTTCCTATTTTTCAAAACGTCCCTTTCTTATGCTTTGAGCAGATCGTAAACCCTTTTATGTAAGCTCCACATCTCATGTCATTATGTCAAACTGTAAATTGAGATATTTTTTACAGTTAAAAATAAGAATATGGAATTTTGTTGTCCTCATTATTCCACATTTTGTTTTGTTTAATCTTCTGAGGTATAAATGTTTGTTTGGCTTCGTTTGCTGAGTAGTTGCACTTCAGTTTCTGGTCTCATTGAACACTTGTGAGCGACTATATCCGTATGTGACAATGTTAGTATGCTGTAAATTCTGGTTATTTTTTTAATTATATTTGAGCGTTAATTTTTTTAGGTGCTGCACAATGTTCTATACGCAGACGATGTTCTCCGACTCTGGGTTTCGACAAAGGGCGTCCACCATGTGCATGCATATATATAGCTTCTTCTTTTCGTTGTAGTCGCGGCATGCAAACACGCGCGGCCTCACACGTTTGCACCCAACCTAAGAATTCTTCTGGGTCGCTTGTCCCTTGGAACATTCGAATTTCATCTTGGTGCCTCTCACGTAACCCTCTTCATGCTTTTGACTACTGAATCCTAAGAAGCTTTTGTTTCTTCACTCTTTTGGTATGCTTGGTAGGGAATAGGCTCTTGCTCCTTTTCCTTGAGTGTATCCACGTCTTCTTGGAGCGAGATCTGTTGCGGGTCCAGCCCATTTTCATTTGGGTTCCATTTTTTCTTTGTGGGGGTCCAATAATAGGAAAGTTTTTCCTTTACTTTGTTGACTAACAAAAAGGAGAAAAAAGGGCTGGGCAGTAGAGGACTTACCGACAGAGCAGAAAGAAAAAAAACAGAATAGAGAGAGCGAGGAGGGCTGGTGCAGAATTTTCAGACCAGCTTCACAAATTCGATCATCGCCGAAGATCCGACCGTTGGATTGAGCTGAAATTTTCAGAGATTGTTCCCAACACTTAGGGCTTCAATCTGTTCAATTTTCACATCAATCGGAGCTACGGATCTTCTGTAATTGCAGCTGGTGCGTTGCTGCATTTTTGGGTGATATCTCTGATTTTCCTTCTCTCTTGTTGATGGCTCTTATGTATGTTTTGTTGGTGGGCTGTGACATCCTTGTAGACTGAGTTTGGGTGTTTTTACCCTCAATTTGCATAATAAGAGAAGAAGAGGGCGGACTCCCTATAAGTCCCGTGGTTTTTATCTTTCACATCGTAGGGGTTTTCCACGTATAAAAATCATGTGTCATTTGCATCTTTATTCTTCATATTTGGGTGTGGTTTATTTGATGTGTTGCTGATTTTGTGTGCTTGATTAATCAATTGTGGTAAATTGGGTTAAGTGTTTGGTTGGTTGTCTTGAAGTTGATCCTTGTAGGTGTCGTATCCTACTTGTTGCTTCTCCCCCAACATTTGGTATCGGAGCGTTGGTTAAACCGTAGATATGGAGTCAGGAAATAATTCTATGGTTAAATTGACATCAAGCAATTATTCCATTTGGCGTCCTATGATGGAGGATTTGTTGTATTGTAAAGATTTGTTTGACCCAATTGATGTGGATAAAACCAAGAAGGATGACATGCCCACTAAACCAGAGAAGATGACGGATAAAGAATGGGAAAAACTGAAGAGAAAGACCTTGGGGACTATGAGACAGTGGATTGATATTAGCATATTCAATCATGTATCCCAAGAGACTGAGCCACTCGAGTTGTGGAGAAAATTGGAGGGTCTTTATGAGAGAAAGACTGCTCATAACAAGGCCTCGTTGATTAAGAGGCTTGTTAGTCTCAAGTTGAAGCCGGGAAAATCTGTTTCTGAGCATCTGAGTGATTTTCAAGATATCATTAACAAGTTGACTGTGATGAAAATTGTTTTTGATGATGAGTTGCAGGCTTTATTCCTATTGAGTTCTTTGCCAGATAGTTGGGAGACTTTGGTTGTGTCTATCAGCAATTCAGCTCCAGATGGTGTGCTTTCATTGGATGTCATTAAAGAGAGCATGTTCAATGAAGAGCTTAGAAGAAAGGAGATGGGTGTTGACATTTCACAAGCACTTGTAGTAGAGAATAGAGGAAGAAGCAAAAGCAGAGGTCCCAAGGGGCGTGGCAAGTCAAAGTACAGGTCCAAGTCTAAAGATGGGAGAGAGCCCACGATATGTCACTATTGTAGCAAACCTGGCCATATTCAAAAGTTTTGCTACAAGATGAAAAGAGACCAGCAAAAGAAGAAAAATGATCATCACAAAGAGGGTGATGACAAGAATACAACGGCGACATCTTCTACTTCAGATGATGGTGTTTCATTGGTTTGTACTGCAGGTGATTGTTGTCATGTTGATAATTTTGATTCTGAATGGCTTGTTGATACAGGGGCTTCTTATCATTGTGTTCCTCATAAGGAGTACTTTATTGACTACCGAGCTGGAGATCTTGGTAGTGTGAAGATGGGAAACTAGAGTTTAGCAAGTATTGTTGGAATTGGAGATATTCGGGTTCAAACCAGTGTTGGGTGCTATATGACTTTGAGAGATGTTCGCCACATTCCAGATTTACGTCTCAATTTATTGTCTGCTAATGTACTTGATCAAGAAGGTTACAAGCATACTTTTGGTGAGGGTAAATGGAAATTGTCAAAGGGTTCTTTGACTGTTGCTCGTGGGAAGCTTTGTTGCACCTTGTATAAGACACACTTGAAAGTGTGTACTAGTGAGTTGAATGGTGTTGAGGAGAAAACTTCTCCTAACTTATGGCATCGCAGATTGGGCCATGTTAGTGAGAAGGGCATAAAGCTGTTGGCTGGTAAGTCTCTTATTCCTGCTGATGTTACCATTTCACTTGACCCTTGTGATCATTGTTTAGCAGGAAAGCAGCATAGAGTTTCTTTTCCGAGGAGATCCAGGAGAAAGAAACTGAAACTAGAGTTGGTTTACTCTGATGTGTGTGGTCCTATTGAGGTGGATTCACTTGGTGGTAACAAATACTTTGTTACTTTTATTGATGATGCTACTCGGAGAACTTGGGTTTATATGATGAAGCACAAAAGCGATGTGTTTGGTATCTTTCAGAAGTTTCATGCCATGGTGGAAAGGGAAACAGATTGCAAATTGAAGCGTCTTCGAACTGATAATGGAGGTGAATACACTTCAAATGAGTTTAAAGCATATTGTTCAAGATATGGCATTCGGCATGAAAGAACAGAACCTGGTACTCCACAACATAATGGTGTTGCCGAGAGGATGAACAGAACTATTGTTGAGAAAGTGAGATGTATGCTTAGGATGTCCAATCTTCCTAAGTCATTCTGGGGAGAAGCAGTTGGAACCGCTGTGTACTTGATAAACAGAGCGCCATCAGTTCCTTTGGAGTTTGATATTCCTGAGAGAGTTTGGTTTGGGAGAGATCCTTCTTATTCCCATTTGAAGGTGTTTGGATGCAACGCCTTTATGCATGTACCGAAGGAACAGAGATTGGAGCTTGATTTCAAAACTTCTCCTTGTGTGTTTGTTGGATATGGTGATGAAGAGTTTGGTTACAGACTTTATGATCCAGCAAAGAAAAGAGTTGTGAGGAGTAGAGATGTTGTATTTTACGAGCACGAGATGGGTTTTCATCTCTTAGGTGCTGGTAATACTTATTATCCCGATTTATCTCATGGTGCTATTGATATGTCTCATGTTTCTGTTCCAGATGTTCAACAAACAGGTGATGCTCCCGATGATGGTCATGAAAATACTCATGAACATGACCGTATTGAAGAGGTAAAACCAGAGATTGTGCCACAACCTGATGATGAAGCTGTTGAAATAGAAAGTGGAGAGTCTTCTAATCAGGGGGAGCAAAACAGCCCACAAGTGGAAGAGCCAACATTGAGAAGGTCAACCCGAGTTCGACAACCTTCAAGACTTTATCCAAGTTCAGAATATATCCGAATCACTGATGAGGGGGAGCCTGAAAGCCTTAAAGAGGTCTTGTCACATCCAGACAAAGACCATTGGCTGAAGGCTATGCAAGAGGAGATGGATTCTTTGAAGAAGAATGAAACATATGACTTGGTGAAGCGTCCAAAAGGGAAGAAAGTCTTGAAGAGCAGGTGGTTGTTCAAGAACAAGAAAGATGGCCAAAAGCTAGTGAGACGGAAGGCAAGACTGGTGGTGAAGGGATGCCATCAGAAGAAAGGCATCGATTACGATGAAATTTTTGCACCAGTGGTGAAGATGACTTCCATTCGCATGATTTTGGGACTAGCGGCTTGTTTGGATCTTGAGCTTGAGCAGCTTGATGTAAAAACTGCATTTTTACATGGTGATTTGGATGATGAGATTTACATGGAGCAACCAAAAGGATTTGAAGTCAAAGGAAAAGAGAATTTTGTTTGCAAGTTGAAAAAGAGTCTTTATGGGCTTAAGCAAGCACCGAGGCAATGGTACCGTAAGTTTGATTCCTTCATGAGTAGCAATGGGTACAGGCGTACTACTGCAGATCCTTGTGTGTATTTTAGAAAGTTCTCTGATGATAACTTCATTATCCTTTGTTTGTATGTTGATGATATGTTGATAGTGGGACAAGATGTTGAGATGATTCGTAGGTTGAAAGAGGATATGTCAAAGTCCTTTGAAATGAAAGATTTGGGTAATGCAAAGCAAATTCTTGGCATGGAAATTGTTCGTGATAGAAAAGCTGGTAAGCTTTGGCTCTCACAAGAGAAGGATATTGAACGAGTGCTTGAAGGGTTCAATATGAAGAATGCCAAGTCGGTTAATACACCACTTGCCGGTCATTTCAAGTTGAGCAAGCGTTCTTGTCTTAGTTCTGATAAAGAGAAGGAAAGCATGTCTCATATTCCTTACTCTTCTGCTGTTGGTTCATTGATGTACGCTATGGTGTGTACAAGGCCGGATATAGCACATGCTGTTGGATTGGTTAGCAGATTCTTGGCTAATCCAGGCAAGTGAAGGTTCACTGGGAAGCTGTAAAGTGGATCTTGAGATATTTGCGGGGCACCTCAAAACTGAGTTTGTGTTTTGGAGGCGGTGAGCCTATTTTTGAGGGATTTACAGATGCTGACATGGCTGGAGATCTTGATAATAGAAAGTCTACCTCAGGTTACTTGTTTACATTTGCAGGGGGAGCCATTTCATGGCAATCCAAGCTACAAAAGTGTGTAGCATTGTCAACAACTGAGGTAGAGTATATAGCAGCAGTGGAAGCAGGCAAAGAGATGATTTGGTTGAAGCGTTTCCTTCAAGAGTTGGGATTGAAGCAATGTGAGTATGTTGTGTTTTGCGATAGTCAAAGTGCTATAGACTTGAGCAAAAACACCATGTATCATGCTCGCACAAAGCATATTGATGTGAGGTATCATTGGTTGCGTGATATCATTGAAAAGCAACTAATGAAGTTGAAGAAGATTCACACAATCAAGAATGGTGCTGATATGTTGACAAAGGTGGTTCCTGGAAGCAAGCTTGAGTTTTGTTCCAAGCTTGCAGGTATGTCTTCTTGATGTGGTTTGCGTATGATCTTCCCCAAATCGGGCTGGAGGGGGAGATTGTTGTGGGTCCAGCCCATTTTCATTTGGGTTCCATTTTTTCTTTGTGGGGGTCCAATAATAGGAAAGTTTTTCCTTTACTTTGTTGAGCAGAAAGAAAAAAAAAACAGAATAGAGAGAGCGAGAAGGGCTGGTGCAGAATTTTCAGACCAGCTGCACAAATTCGATCATCGCCGAAGATCCGACCGTTGGATTGAGCTGAAATTTTCAGAGATTGTTCCCAACACTTAGGGCTTCAATCTGTTCAATTTTCACATCAATCGGAGCTACGGATCTTCTGTAATTGCAGCTGGTGCGTTGCTGCATTTTTGGGTGATATCTCTGATTTTCCTTCTCTCTTGTTGATGGCTCTTATGTATGTTTTGTTGGTGGGCTGTGACATCCTTGTAGACTGAGTTTGGGTGTTTTTACCCTCAATTTGCATAATAAGAGAAGAAGAGGGCGGACTCCCTATAAGTCCCGTGGTTTTTATCCTTCACATCGAAGGGGTTTTCCACGTATAAAAATCGTGTGTCGTTTGCATCTTTATTCTTCATATTTGGGTGTGGTTTATTTGATGTGTTGCTGATTTTGTGTGCTTGGTTAATCAATTGTGGTAAATTGGGTTAAGTGTTTGGTTGGTTGTCTTGAAGTTGATCCTTGTAGGTGTCGTATCCTACTTGTTGCTTCTCCCCCAACAAGATCATTTGACGGGATAGCTTCTTGAACATTTCTTCCATTTTGTTTTCTCATCAGGCCATTTTTTCTGATATATGGAGTATATTTTTCTTGACAAACTTTTTTTTTGCTTCGACACTTTTTCATAACATCTTTTTAATGACTCCTTATGCTTTTTTTGGACTTTTTTTTTAATAACAAGAAGTTACAAAATTACAACAACGAAGAAAACATAACAAGAATGACTAATAATACAAAAGACATAGAAAATTACTTTTTCTTTTCTTGACAATTTTTTTATATTCATTTTTCACTATTTTTTTTAATTTGACGCAAAGTAGAAACGAAAAAGTTTATGGCGAGATTAAGAAATGATAATATATTGATGAAAAAATAAAATGATGGTAGAAACAAAATAACAAAACATGTTCGAAATGACTTAACCTTGATACTAAATGATGTGCTCGAATGTGGTAGGAGTCCCAATACCAAGAATACAATATCCTTACACAAAGTAAGAAATAAACCTTTTCCATCATCTCCGATGGAGCCAAAATTTCACCATTTTTTGGCTTTGGGGTGTGATGGAATAAATCAAAATGGATCTCTAAACTATCTGCGCTTCTTTAATTAATGAAGTAGCAGTTAGTCAAGCAATGCAACTTTCGACGTTGAGCCGGGGGTCTCTTTAGAAACAGCCTCTCTACTTTCGAGTAGGGGCAAGATCTGCGTACACACACCCTCCCCAGACCCTACTCTTGTGGGATTTAACTGGGTTGTTGTTGTTTTTGTTGTAAAGTAAGAAATAAACCATAATAGAAATATTCTCCTAAATTTGAGCGGATGTGCTGCAATACAAAGTTTCTATAGAATAAGCCAATGGTCTTTGAAACACTCGATAAATGAGGATTAAACTAGGTTTAAGCAAGAAAGGATCATGATCAATGATGATCATAAGCTTGGATATAAGATGTATTCTTCAAGAAAATGCTCTCAAAAGGCTCAAAATAAGCTTGCATTATCCCTGATGGAGCTAAAGATTTAGTATTTTTTTCTTTGGGTATGATGGAATAAAACAAAATGACTCTTTAAACTGTTTGCACTTCTTTTAATAGTGTAGCAGTTAGTAAATGCAACTTTCAACACTCATCATGGGTTATCTGAAAACAACTGCTCTATGTTTTAAACAAAGGGTCAGGTTGTGTACGTATTTACCTGTGGTGCTTGAGTCTGGGGTCTGCAAAGTCTCTCTATTTTCGAGTAGGAGTAAGGTTTGCGTACACACACCTTCCTCAGACCTTACTTTTGAGTAATTTAACTGGGTTATTTTTGTAAGAGCCTCAAGAAAGATATATCAAAGACTCAAGCAATGGGAAACATTAAACTCAAGCAAGAATTGATTATGATCAATGTTGATCATAAGTTTTGATGATGATACATTAATTTGTTTGTGATTATGCTTATGTGTGTCCTTCACCTTTTTTGCTTATGAGAAAAGGGAGAATACAAGCTTTGATTGATTTTCATGCGGATGGCTTGCAAATAAGAGGCGGTTTTTGTAAGAGTTTTTTGCAAACTTTTTCAAAACAGGGCCACACAGGTGAAGTATGTTATTGTTTGTTCAAGTATACACACACGCTTTTCCATTTCTAGAATGTTATATGTTGTGCGTCGTGACATCTTTGTTTCAAACAGGAGTTTCTTATTTCAAGCCCAAATAAAATCAAAGTTTGGGTTTCTCATTATCAAAATAGAAAAATTATTGACCCTTATGTTTAAATAACGTCTTATGGGACTTGGATTGATGATTTGCTTGGCAATAAACTTGGGACTTAAAAAGAAGATCAGAGAGGAAGAGTTTCGTAGATCTTTTTAGTCTTTTTTGAGTCTTAGCTTGATTTCTAAAGTGTATGACACACATATGATACACTTGGTCTTTTTAGTTTCAAAATCCTCCCGTTTTCTTTTTTTTTTTTTTGAAATTATTTTTGAGTTTGTTGCAACAAGTTTTTATTATCCAAAAGTGTTTTCGATCCTTTTGGATAGTTCTTGGCCTTTGTTAACTTTAAATTTTAAAAACTCAAGTCTCGTATTCAAATAAGTCAATGTCTGGAGGCTACCTATTCGAATATGCACTTGACTATACGAAAAGGTCAGTCCTTTGAAATCTTTTTCTTCCAAATTTTGGTCTACCTATTCAAACAAGTTGTATCATATGTGAATAAATCAGTAATCTTGTCAAGAATCTATTCGAATAGGCTACAGACTATTTAAATAGTTGACAATTTTTCACATTTCGGTTTTTAACTTCCTATTCGAATAGTTCATTGTGTATTCAAACAGTTTAGCGCTTGTAATTTCCCTAATAGGTATATTTTTTAAATTTTTGACCCTTATAGTCATGATATATATTTTAACCTTCATTGGGTCGTAGTTTTGGTATCTAAGACACACAACACATTCATACATTCACCTTTTAATTTGTTTATCCAAAGAGTTTCGCATAGTTCTATCATCCTCCTCATCTTTCAAGCATTTCTTCAAGAATATCTTTTTGCTTGAGATTTGGAGAGTTCAATTGTGTCACTCTATAAGATCCTTGTAATCTACAACAATTCACTATTGTACAAAGAGATTTCTCCATTGTGCACTTTTGGTCAAGTTTTGAGTTGCAAGAACTTGAATTTGTGATAATTCAAGTTTGGATAAAAATCCTAAATCTTGTGAAATCAAGAATTCGGTGGTAAGATTTATTGACTTGTGAAATCAATTCCTCAAGTTGTATTCATATTGTCAAACTTCGTTAACTTTAACAAAGATTAGTGAAATCTCGGGCACTTTTTGTTCGGAGACTGGGCGTAGACATTAAGTCGAAGCAATATACACCGTCGTCTCTTGCACTTCCCTACATTATTCTTGCGTTTTTATTTGTTGGAGTGCTCTTGGGATTTATGACTTAGTGAAAAATAATCATAGTTGTAAAACCACCTCTATTCATGCACTTCTTTAGAGGTGGCCGTGCCGTTTAACAGGTTCATCATTATCCACACCTCCCATGTTCCTCAGTCTATATATAATTAAGAAAGAAACTAGTGAACAAAATATTCAAATAGTGCCCACCCTTTAACAGCTTTGTGGTAAAAATTACCTGTGTTATCAGTGGAAAAAAAGAGATGTCAGAGGAAAGGAATCGACAAACGAAAAATAAGTAGGGGATGCACATTTATATTGTTGGAAAAGGTGACATGAATGAAATATTATACCACTGTCAGATTTAATTAACAGCATAAAGAGAAATAAGAAAACAAACATATAGAGAGCCTTACAAACAAACCATCACATAGCAGCTTTTGCTTTTGAATCAAGGGAAAACAGCTTGATGACAGCTTGAAATGCTATTACACAAATCCACAGAAACAATTGATCAAGCACAAACATCAAACCTAACTTCGAGCAAAGTTAATTCCAAAGATGAGGGAAATGAACAGTAATATGAAATGAAAAAGAAGAAGAAGAGAACTATTTGAGTTTCTGGAAAACCCTCTTAGCAGCTGCGATTGTGTGTTGAATGTCCTCGGGAGTATGCGCTAAGCTAGTAAAACCAGCTTCGAATTGGGAAGGTGCAAAATACACGCCTTCCTCTAGCATTCCTCTATAGAATCTTGCAAATTTTGCAGTGTCACTCTTCTTTGCATCAGCAAAGTTGTAAACTGGGCCATCCGTGAAAAAGAAGCCAAACATGCCGCTGATATGCCCGCCACATATTGCATGACCTGCCTCCCGTCCAGCCACCAAAATCCCATTGATCAGTTCACCCGTGACGCTGTTCAAGTATTCGTAGCTTCCTGGTTCCTTTAACCGCTTTAGTGTGTGGATTCCAGCAGTCATTGCCAGAGGATTTCCACTCAACGTCCCAGCCTGATACATAGGTCCAGCAGGTGCCACCATCTCCATAATCTCCCTCCTCCCACCGTATGCCCCTACAGGCAAGCCACCACCAATGATCTTCCCAAGTGTTGTCAAATCAGGGGTTATGCCAAAATACTCCTGAGCTCCACCGTATGACAAGCGAAATCCAGTCATGACTTCATCAAAGATGAGGAGAGTTTCATTCTCTTTTGACATCCGACGCAATGCATTGAGAAAATCGGGCTTGGGCAAAATAAACCCAGAATTTCCAACTACAGGCTCCAGGATAATGGCTGCAATTTCCCCTTTGTTGGCGTGAAGGAGGCTTTCCACCGCTGAAATGTCATTGTAGGGGGCAGTAAGTGTTTCTGATGTTGCTGCTTTGGGAACTCCGGGGGAGTCTGGGAGCCCTAAGGTGGCAACCCCACTGCCTGCTTTAACAAGAAACGGATCTGCATGCCCGTGGTAACATCCCTCAAATTTGATCAACTTTTCTCGCCCAGTGAAAGCACGAGCAAGTCTTAGCACACCCATACAAGCCTCTGTCCCTGAATTAACAAATCGAACCATTTCTATGGACGGAACAGCTTCAATGACCATCTCTGCCAATGTGTTTTCGAGAAGACATGGAGCACCAAAGCTTGTCCCTTTCTTCATTGTTTCGGTCAATGCTGTCAGTACCTGAATAAGAGTAAAATATTAACATGTTTGAGCTATAAATGGATCACTTTTTCTGTTAAGGGTCTCTCAATGAAACTAGAATGGTACTTATTGCAACTATCCTCCATATGTACAGAAATTTTAAGTTTGTCTTTTTTAATATATCAATGTATTCATTATTGTTCCACTTCTTGTGGGTTGGCGATAAAAGTTACAACTGCACATTTCATGTAAGCATTCCCTTATCAACATCATTGACTTATTATAAATAGGTCATAAAAGGGCCTTTTTTTTGTGCAGCCCATGAAAAGCAGAATTGCAGTCCATAATGTGAGATAAACAAAAGTATTTTGAGCATTAATGGTTATCTCAAGCACAATGCATTAGAGTAGAACTGACCTTGTCATCTGCATGGCCGATGATAGCTGGGCCCCAAGAACCTACATAGTCGATATACTTATTTCCATCTATGTCCCACATATACGAGCCCTTCACAAAATCAATCATAATAGGCTGCCCGCCGACTGGTTTGAAGGCACGAACAGGCGAATTCACACCTCCAGGCATCAACTCCTGCCACATTCAGTATTTAATATGTAAGGAAGAGAGTCCGCTAATTATTGCTATCATTCATTCACATTTTCTTTATTCTGAAAACACGTAAAACAAGTGCTCTGACATCTCTATGACTCTATCTATTAGGATATGAATGATATGATTCATGCATGTACTAAATCATTGTCCTACTCAGTCAATTAGATATTCAGATTACTGATATTTTTAATGGAATTGAACATCTTGAAGGCACATGACATAGTCATGTCAACACAACTTTGATCCCCTCCTGAGTCCAGATCATGGCTAAAAACTGAAAATGTAACAATGATTACTCATGTCATGCACTTTCCGTTGGCAAGATTCAGTTGCCCCTGGGCATATATTTCACCACAAATAATAAAATTGTACTAGTTACACATTACAAACAACCAGACTTGTTAAACCAGAAAAAAAATCAGTGTTACAATGGATTGACAAGTTTAACCTACTTGACTACAAATGGAACCCACGAAGGACTTTTGCCTCTTCTTAAGATTTGCTTTCTTTATTCTGCTTTCTAGAATAAAGTTATTTTCATGGTTGAGTTTCAAATGTTTCTAATTCTGCGTATACCCCACTCCCCAGACACCGACTTGTGGGACTACAATGGATTGTTGTTGTTGTTGCTGCTGCAAGGGAGATAGGCATGACTGAGTTGGGAATGTAACAGGTGATGGGCATGTTCACAGTGTTCCATGATCATACATGGGCAAAGAATTTGCAGTTTTTTATGCATCCTTAGGGAATCTCTAATGGAGCACCATTTCCTAAGAACCGCCCCTCAATCCCAAACGCATTTTGAGTTTTTAGTCTCTCTTTCTTCATCTCAAATGCACATATGCGTTGACACTGTAGTCTACTGCATTTCATTTTTCACTCTTTCTTCCATTTTTTACTCTTCCCTTTTTTTGTTGGTAGGTGATTGTAAAAATTTGCATAATGTATTACAGGGTATTATTAGACCTGATAATTACGGAGTATTGTTATTTAGATTTTAAAATTGTAAAAGGCTATGAGAAAAATAATACGGACTACGGAGTACTCCGTAGTATTAAAAAGTGTTTTTTTACAACAACTTACTCCTTATTTTGTTCTTGCGGGGTCCAATTCTAAAACTAATACGTAAATCGGTGGGGTTCTAGTGACATCGGAGTACGGTGACACTCCAGTGCCACTGTCATTTTGGGGAACTTCCGGTGCTCTGTTCGTAAAATTGATGGTTCCTACCCCCCCTAACCCACCCCCTAAACCCCCACCCTACCCCCGCCCCTGCACCCCCAGCCCAACCCCGTCGCATTGCATAATAGCCACCCATTTAATGAAAGGGCTGTCAAACTACTTATGAGCAGCCTGGAAGGAACTCACCATACAATCCTAGTGAATGGACACCCTACTGGTTTTTTCCCAAATGAGGAGAGGGGTTAAACAAGGGGATCCACTGTCTCCCCTCGTTTACATTCTGGGATCAGAGGGGTTCACAAGGACACTGAACCATTACATAATTAACATTAGCAGCAGATTCATAAAACTTTTCAGTGCTGGTAATACACCTGTGGTTTCTCACTTGGCCTATGCAGCTGATCTAATCATCTTCATAAAGTGTGGAGTAAGGAATATGCTGAGATTCAAGTCAGTGCTGAATGAGTACCCGACTGTCTCAGGCCAAGACATAAACTATGGAAAAAACAGTGTTTATTGCAGCAAAGGAACCTCTCTTCTAACCATAAGCATAATGGAAGAGGCACTAGGAATCAAGACTGCTGATCTACCTTTTACCAACCTAGGCTCAACCATCACCAAGGGGAAGCTCAAAAGAAGCACAGGGAGTCCTTGTTGAACCACTTCTGATGATACCTCAATTCCCGGCACAATAAGTAGCTGAACCAAATGAGCAGGGTGCTTCTTATGTTTTGTCCTCAATTCAACCATACAACCTGGCAGTCCAAGAATTGCCTAAGTCCATTATCAGAATCATTATTAGCAAGCAAGCCAATTTCTTTTGGGGATAGACTGATGGTCATAACAACCACCATTGGATCAAATAGCATCCACTGTGGAAGCCAAAGAACTGTGGAGGTCTGCGTTTAGAAGTATTGAGGACTTGCAAACCACTTGTTCCATAAAGCTTTGGTGGAAAGTGAACAAAGGTGGAACAGTTTGGTCTAAATTTATGAAGGCAAAGTACTTTAGAGAGGGAACTTTCAGTGAGAAGCCCTATGATTCTCCGGGCTGGAAAAGGATTTGAAGAGGCAACACACTAGGCATGTATAACAACACCATGGTTAATGCAGAACTGGTATGGAATGAGGGTGAGGTCACCTTCAAATCAGCTTACAGGGCAGTGAGCTTAGCCCCAAATGCAGCACTATTATAATCCCTAGCTTGGACTAAGATGCAGAAACCACAAATCCAGCTTTTCACATGGAGACCCCTCAGCCACAGTTTAACCTTCTGCAATAATTTGGTCAACCTCAGTTTTAACCTTACTATCCATGTGTGTACATTCTAAACACGTGTGGACACAATAGGCATATCTTATTGATGACCCAAATCTAAGAGAAGGCATCACCTTGGTCCAACACCTTATAGAGTGGTGGTGTACACACTCTACAAAAAGTACTAAAGGTGTGCCACGCAAGTGCTACCAGGCTGCATCATTTGGAACATGTGGAAAGAGTACAACTTCATTATTCATGAAGGGGTCAGTTTCAGCATAAAGAGAGTAAGTAAAGAGGTGAACAAGCTCATCCAACAGGCTTGTAAGAGCAAAAGCAAGCTGGGTTCAGATCCAGATATTGAAGACCTCGGACTAAAACCATTGCTTTCTAAGCATTTGTAACAGTTAGCTCTAATTTGTTTTTCTAGCAATTGGCTTTTGTATTCTTGTACTCTCCTCTCTTCTTTAATAAAAATGGTAAGCGGTCCTAAAAAGTCCCGTTTAAAAAATGTATTTCGTCCCAAAAAAGAGTTCAAATTTGTATGAAAGAAGTTATACTTCTTAACAGTTTTTTCTATAAACAACAGAGTTTGAAAGTCTCAACTAAGTTGATTGCATAAAATTTAGTTAACCCGATAAATATATTAAAAAATATAGCTTCATATGATAATCTCCCATTATTGTGCCTTACTAAAATTATAAATTTTGATAGCAACAATTATGGTCTGGCCTTTTTATCAGTGATATTTCTATAAATAATTTGGGATGAGAGTTTTTTTTTAATAAATGGCAGGTGCAATTTTGCAAATGGTGCCTCTTGTCAAAATTCCAGAAAATTCCTAATTTCCGAAGCAGTAAGCTAAGCTCCTGCTCTAAGAATCATACCCCCACCAAAAAAAGAATTCATATTCTTCAATCATCTAAGCAAGTGCTATGAATCATCTAAAGCATCCGAATTCAAAAGGACTAGGTGAAATTCAAAATGCTAGGTGTTACCTTTGCCTTCTTGAAAGCTTCCTCGGATTTCTGGAGTGTAAAATTGTTCTGCTTCTCGAGGACTGATGACACCGCCATTCTAGTGGTGGCACTGGGAGAAGAAGAGGGAATCCACCGGCGACAAGATGGCTGCGCCGCCAATCTTGACATGCGGTTGTGGGTCAAACTCGATGCCCAGGATAGCCCCACTCCGGTGGAAGCGGCCATAGCTCTACACTCCACGCAAAGCCTCGGCCCTGGATGGACTTTACAGAGTGCCGAGTATCTTCGCCAGAAAGATGATTACGTTGTGTTTCGATGGAGGGAGGTGAAGGTATGATTAGGTAGAAAATAAAATCTACCTTGTTTGGGGAAGAAACTGATATAGGTGAGGGGAGGTGAATGGAGGTAGCTTCACCGTCATAAAATCTACCTTGTTTCGCGAAACACCACGGTCATCAGATTCCCTTCCGATGCTGCCCTTCGCAAGCCGCTCCTGAGATTCCTTCGCTCTCCCAATCCCGTCGCTCTCCGATCTCAGATCCCTTTGCTAGCCGTATCCGATCTCCGATCCCTTCGCTCACCCAGCTCCTCTCCAGCGGTAGATTCTTCCTCTCCCTTCAATTTTTATCTTTTTTTCTGGTTTCTTTTCTGCCGTTGTTTTTTTGTTCTTTTTTTTTCTTTTTTTTTTTGTTTCTGCATTCTTTTTCATTTTTGCTGTGTTGTTGTGGTTTTTTATTTTCCGTTTGTGTTTATTATGGTTTATTGCTGTTTTTTGTTATTTATATAAAATTGTTGTTTTTTGTGCTAGTTTTTTGGTTTGCTGTTTTTTCTTTTTTGCTAATATTTTCTGTTTTTTTCTATGTAATTTAATTTCATGTTTTTTTATGATTTTTTCTTTTTTTCCCGTAATTTGAATATTTATTGAAATATACTATTTTGTTTTTCAAATTTTTTTAGCTTTTTTTTTGCAATATGATGTTTTCCGTGTTGATGGCATTCCGGCCGGTGGATTTGTAATCGTACGGCAATCGTGGCTGTCAGAGTACTAGTCACAGAGAAATCGTACGGCAGTCGTGGCTGTCAGAGTACTAGTCACAGAGATGCTCGCCGTATCGAAATCCGATCATCCAAGCACAAGGGTTTTTAAGTAATTTTATTGTTTACTTACCTCACATTACCTAATAAATACCCAAACACAAATTTTCAATTTATTATCTTACCTTACCTATCTTACTTTATCTGTCTTCCATTACCTTCCATTACCTACCATTACCTATCTAATAAAACTTTAGATTATGCGCGGTGGTTTAACTATGTCTAATATGCTAATATCTCAATAGCAATGATTAATTCTTTTTATAAATACTTACCTATTTCTATTCAAATTAAATTATATCTTTTATAAAATAATAATATTAATTAATAAAATTTTATTTTTGAGTTTATTTTTTATTTTGTTATTAATTCTTTTTCCCATTTTAGAGTAATTATTGTTTTTCGGTATTTTCATTTTAACAATTAAATACACAAAAAACAAATAATTTAAAAACTCATAAATTACATTATTTAAAAAAAAGTATACAAGATACGTAAATAAAAAACATAAAGTACATTAAAGAAAAAAACAATATACGCAACACTAATTTGAATATCGATCTATCCAAAGATGCTCTACTAAATTCGCTCTAAGGTTATTGTGCGTTTCTCTACTACGGATTTGCGCGTGTCTTACAATTCGTTCATCTTCGGTGACCTCTTTGATGTTGTTATCGTCCGACTTTTAGTCTGCACAGATAGCTAATCACTACATCTCTTTTAAATTCATATTGTGTAAAATAATACATGCGTACATGGAGTTTGATATTTTTTTTCTTTCTCCCACATTCTTGCGAGAATAGCTATCAGATGCCACCTTTTCTTTAGCACATCGAATGCACGCTCGAAATTCTTTCTAGCACACTCTTGAGCTTTCTTAAAAAACACATTTTACATCATCCTCGCATTGACACGTAAATGACTTCACCATTGTTGCCCACTCTGGATAGATGTCATCAGCCAAATAATAACCAAAATTATACTTCGCATCGTTGGCAATAAAAGTTGACGTTGCTGCAACTTCCTTGTCGATATCGTCAAAAACCGTAGACTGATCAAGAACATTTAAATCATTACTTGATCCACAAACTCCAAAAAAGCATGTCATATCCAAAGATCATTTGACGCTAGTGCTTCAAGCATCAACATCGGGTGACTATAGTCACCCCGTTGATATTGTCCCCACCAAGCCGTTGGGCAGGTCCCAGTACATACAATCAATGTTACCAAGCATTCCTATGAATTCATGCACTTCCTCAATATTTTTTTAATTTCAATCCATGACGATTTCGGCAAATATTTTTCATCGTATAATGTCATGACACCTTCAATATAATTAGAATTAAAATTTTACACTATATATACTTAGAAAAAATTTAATTTTTCAAATTAAATTTAAGAACGTAGATGTACCTTTGCCAAATTCCTAAAGTGTATTATGACTTATTTTTTCAGGAATCTTAAGATATTCATCCCAAGAATTAGAACGAGTACCGTAACCTAATTGCCGAATTGCAGATGTACACCTTTACAAATGCGTAAATCCAAGTTTACCTCTTCCATCGTAACGTTGTTGGAAGTTTTTAAAATTCACTTAGAAGTCATCGACAATTCTACAAAAAAGATATCGGCACATCCGGAAGTGTCTGGCAAATGTCAAGTCATTGAACATCGGCTCGACAAAAAAACAATCTTCTATGAGACGTTGGTGTGCCTCAAACAATCTTCGATCTCGATTGATTTGGACTCATCTTCTAAAGATCCTAACATTCTCGTGCTGCCTCAAACTCGTGATTATACAAGCCGAGGTTTGGACTGATTCTATAGATATATTTGGTCATCACAAGACAAATTGGAAGAAAAGCTGAACAAGTTATACTACAACATTAAAAATATATGATCTATGGAATGCTCTTTAGGTGGGTTATGTCCGGCATCCCATTATTAACGATAATGTCTGCCCGAATGTAGATGCAAACACTCCGTCATTGACCAAGAGACTAGGTCAAACATCTAACACTCGCTAGTCTCACACGTATTAACGATATCCCACTCTCGTCAATACTTCGACTATGGACCGTTTCAGAATTAAATCTTTACAAGACGTGAGTCTCAACATTAGAAGACTTAATCTGATAAGCATCTTTCAAATATAATTCTAGGAATGTAATAGTCGTTTACATTAGCATGAGATGTGTGTAAACATATTACATCTGCTTTACATCTTTGATACATAAAATATCTAAGATATATTACAGTAGCAGTTTGCGTAAGAGCACTGGTAATACGTTTGAAGCCCCGGGGCTTCAAACCGAGACTTCAAACTTTCTCTCTCTGCCACATCAGCTTTAACTTACACCCAAAATTCACTGGAAATGGGTTTGAAGCCCCGGGGCTTCAAAACTGGGCTTCAAACCTTCATTTTTTACATTTTTAAATATACATCTTCTAAAATTAAATTAATAAAATGTACTTAATTTATTATTTAATTAAATTGAAACACGAATAATAAAAAAACACATTAATTAAATAAAAAAAGCGACAATAATTTAAAAAAAAGATACATTAATAAAAAAACTAAGGTAAATTATATTTCTCCTTGATCTCTCTCATTCTTTGCTCGTAGATAATTCGTCCAAACTCCGACAACGTCCCAGGGTCAGTTTGCATGACTTTCATCTCGGCCTCCTGCTCCTTTAGCTTCAACTCCTTCTCTTTAAGCTTCAACCTCTCTTGTTCTTGGAGATTGAACGCCCGAAGTTGTTCAATCATTGCCCGGCCGATTTCGTCGCGGGGAGAAGCGGAAACAGACCCGAACCAGAGGCAATGGATTTTGCCTTCTTTCTTCCGATCGGCCGTGGAATGGGGTCCTCGTCATCGGAATCCGCAACGTTGAAGGGAGGGATTTGATCGGTAGAACCGATAGTCTCGTCGACCTCAACCTCGGCGGCGCCGGTGGATCTTTTCCGCAATGATCCGCCGTCGGGATTGTTGAGTTGTTACCACTTCGGGGAACGACTCAAAATCTTCCAAAGATCGATGGGCACCTTGCCTTGGTTCCCGTCGTCTTGATACCGGGTCGTGGCAAGCCGGAGAACATCGGCGTCGTTCGTGCCGCTCCTCCGGGACCGGGAGCATTCCTCGTAAACTCCCATAAACTTTCGGACTTTTTTGTTGATGTGGCACCATTTGGAAGTGAGTTTGTCCCGGGTTCGGTAGGAGCCGTCCTTCTTCATCGCCGTGAAGAACTTCTCCTCGATACGATCCCACATCGCATCCTTCGTTTGCTCCGTACCTTTAAAAATGTATTACAAAATTTTTTTTAGACACCATTAAATATAATATATATAAATAAAAACATAAATATATTAGAAAAAATAAATTTTTTACCAATGATAGGATGCTCGGAGACGTCAACCCAAGCCGACGCCAATATGCACTCCTCCTCCGGCGACCACTTTTTGATTTACCGTGCCGCCTCAGTCAACGTGCTTTTGGCTTTGTGACTTTTCCGGCGTGTACTTTTTTTCGATCCGGACGGTTCCGGTTGAGTCTCCGGAACCGAATCTCGGTCGACGTACCCCGATTGTTGCGTCTCATTGATCGGCGGTCAATCGCCGCACTCTTGGTAGAACCACATCGCGGCATCACTCGGCGGGAGATCGTCGGGAAAGAAGCCGGAGCCGGAAGGATTCATGTTGAAAATTGGGAGGGGGGGGTTTGAATTTCGAAATTTAAAAATAATAAAAAAGAAGAGATTGAAGAGAAAGTGTAAGAGATTGGTTTGAGGGGGTTGAATTTATAGGAATTTTTTTTTTGAAATGTGGGCTGCAACGGCTAAAAAAGCCGTTAGGAGGGAGGAGAGAAGACTCACGCCGCTTCATTCGTTTGACACAGGGCTCCTCACGCCCCTTTAACGCCGGCGGGGCGGCGTTTCCCTGGGCGTTTTACGCCCAGTAACGCCTGAGGGCGTGAGGAGTATACCCAGTGCTCTAAGGGCGCCCGTTCCAACATATCAGCTAAGGAGAACTAAGACCAGAACAGTCTCTAGAGGAGAAGACGTATCATTTCCGAAGATCGGTCGGAGGTTAAGGATCGGAGGTTAAGGATCGGTTGGACCTTCAAATCAGGCCGTTTGGCCCCTTCTAAAATCATCATCTCCAAAAATTACATTGTGTTACTTGATTGGAAGGGCCTTTCTATCCTTTGGCGTAAATGGAACCGATGCACTCAAGTCGTTCTTTGTTAGATCTGGAAGGACATTCAAATAAATTCCATAAATTCTTCTTAAATGGTTCATACTGTAAATTTAAGTTGATGGAACGGAGCCAAATCTAAAACCCTATCCCCCCTTAAGCGCATCCATGGCCGATTCTCTCACTCCCCATGTAAATTTCTTTCTCCTTCTCCTCCACATCTTTCTTCTCTATGCTTTGTTGTATTTTATTGGCTTGGTGCTTGTCTTCTGTATCTCTGTGGTGTGTTTTCCTATCGATTGAAAATGTCCTTTCATATCTCGGTAAAATGCGATATTTTTTACAATTAAAAATAAAATTTGGAATTTTGTTTTCCTCATTCCACATTATGTTTTGTTTAATCTTCTGTATTCTAGACTATATTGATTGGATTCACTTGCTGAGTAGTTGTAATTCATTTTCTGCCCTCGTTGTAAATTTGTAAGCGATTATAACCATGTGACTATGTTAGTATGATGTAAATTTTAGCAGTTTTTTTACATCCGAGCTTTGTTTTTTTTAAATATTTGAAGTTTGAAAATCTGGTTTTTTATGATATATTTATGTTTGTACTATTAGGGGCTGTTTGGCAACTTCTGAATCGGTAAGTGCTGAACCAGTAAGAAGTCTGAACCATTAAGTGCTGAACCAGTAAGAGGTCTGAACCATTAAGAGCTAGTATATTGCTTAACTATTCAGAGGCAAATGTCTGATCAATTCAGATAAGAGGTCTTAACCATTCAGACTCTGTATAATACTTAACCATTCAGAGGCAAATCTCTTAACCATTCAGACATCTGAACCATTAAGAGGCTGAAACAAACAGCCCCTTACATGCTATCAAGCACAAGTCATACATTTGAATTTCATCAATGAAGTGCCACTCGGATACTTGAGGTGCCACTATGACACATTTTTGTTTTTAGACATATTTTTATATAAAATGGTATTGTGTGATTAAAATTGTTTTTGTTCCTTTTCCCTTTCATAAATTTCTTAATAGCTTTGAGGCAGTGTTGTCTGTTATCAAGAGAGTAGTTTTGAACAATGGGGAATCAGTATGGCTGATCTATTATTGACTGCCCGACTGAGCACTGCTGGTGATCTACTTATTTGGATATACTGATTTACCCTTACTCATCTGAGTGCTCTTGACCTTATCTCATAGAAGAATCTGTTATGTTCTTTGAGTACTCTATTTTCCAACCAACATGACTAAGTCCCAACCTGTATAGAGATGAATGTGATGAATTATGCAGGTACTTAAGATAGTGAGGATTCATGCCCTGGTGCAGCCGTAATTGCTATTGTGCCAAGCTTGTTTGGCCCACTCTCTATACTACCGAACCAGAATCTCTCTTCTGATTCCTTCTCTATCCATGGGAGACTCTCTGTCACAAAATAAAGTTTTGGAATAGACAAAACACATTAATTAAAGAGTACAATGCATGTGCATATATAGGAAGTTATGAACATAAATTAGGTTCCTAGAGTGAACGTGAGTTTTGTGTCTGCTGGGATAAGCTATGAAGTGTGTTTTAAAGTGGCATTGAATCTTAATATTTCCAGGGAAATTGGATCAAAACACTACAAAGTATGAACAGTTGGGTAAGAACAAAATGAACTTTGAAATTGGATAACCAATTTTAGCCTTGGACAGAAATATTATAGTTATCGTCGAAGCATGTTAAAATATTAAAATTCGTATAAATACACTCTTGTACAAACATCTTGGAGTCTTTTGTCTAAATTTTCAAAGTTGCTTGTGTTTTGTCTAATCTCACCCCACAAAAATGTTTTCTCCTCTTTGATTTTAATCATTTTTTATCACTATTAAATTTTATCTATAATAATACAATCTGTATCATTTTGGCATAGTTATGTTTTTCATGAACGTTTTTTGTTACGGATCTAAACTAGTGTTTTCATTTTAAGATTAGTCAAATCTTGATGCCGTATTAATAATCTTTTCATCAATTCGTGATGAAATAGTATTCTATCAAAAATAGTTTTCCATAGACCTATATATTAGTATCAAATGTGGACTCGATGAAATTCAAAATTTGCAAATCAATTTTTGATCTTTGATAGAAAATGTTTTCATGGATCACCAATATGTGGCAAAGTAATATACCAACAAGAACAATATTTTTCAGCATAGTTTGTAAGGCGTCGCGGCCGTCGCCTAGGCGTCGCCTAGGTGATAAGGTGCTGTCACTGCTGCTCGCCTCGCCTAGAAAACCTTAAGGCGACCAGGCGCTCGCCTAGGCGTCGCCTTTCCTCGCCTTAATTCGCCTTACTTCGCCTTGATGCCTTGGGCCCCTTTAAAATTTTGAAAAAACCCATTCTTTGGTGCAGCCCATTTTCTTTTAGTGTAGCCTAATAGACTTAAACTTATCTTCTCTCTCTCTCGGTCGTCTTTGTTAAGCTTCCTTAAAACGTATAAGACCTATATATACATATATAAATATAAATATACACACACACATATACATACATATAGATATATATACCTATATATATGTGTATGTAAATATATATATATATGTGTGTGTGTGTGTGTATATATATATATATCTATATATATATATATATATCTGTGTGTGTGTGTATGTAGGTATGTATGTCGCCTCGTCGTCGCCTAGGCGATATGAAAGTACATTGGCGCCTCGCCTTGCCGCCTTACAAACTATGTTTTTCAGTGTGAAAAATACTTTAAACACCAATTTTTAATTAGATAAATCTTAAGTCTTACGGACTAGTATCACATTTGTGACAATGTAATATTTTATCATTTGTGAAATTTTACAATGATGAAGAGTATGGATAAAAATAAAGTATACCTATGAGACATACATAAATATTTTTCTAGAGGGTGACATTGAACAAAACAACTACCAACTATTAGAGATTATACTCAAAATATATTTATACAAGAAGGCATTTATATGGATTCTTTTATTCTGTCATGCTCGGAAAACATTTACATTGTTTTTGGCCAATTAGGATGATTATTGGTTGCATTTTGGCCAATTCTAAAGTTCATAGTATTTTTGTCTAATTGCTCATAATGGGTGGTGTCCTTGTCCAATTTCTGATGTTTCAACACCCAGAGCTTACTAAGCTTTAACTTGTTACAAAAATATTCATTACTACTCCACTAGATTGAAAATATGCGAGTTGTGATCCACAAAAATTGTTTGAGAGTAAACTCCGAATGTGTTAGGAGTCAGAGAAGATTTCTTCAAGGAACATAGTCATATAGCTCAAATGACCTTCAACATGAAATATATATCTTGACTAACATAGCAAGGTTTGGTTTACTCAAATAAACACATGTATGACAAATAGCATGGATAGGTGACCACGAAGACATAGTAATAACTAGTTTTATTTACCAGTTTTGTTGTCATCCTTTTTCAAATTAATTATGTACTCCCTCCTTCCACAGATTTTCTACTCGTTTCGCGTTACTATGTTTGACTAAAGTTATTTTTACTTCATTTTATACAAAAACTGCTGTGGAAATAAAAAATAAGAATAACTCCATATATATATATATTTATATTTATTTAAAAACTACATTAAAAGATTTACTAATCTAGAACAAAGATACTAACATGACTATATTATTTTATTAAATGGGCCTTATGGGCGACAAAATAGGCAAACAAATGAAATAAAGTTTGACCTTGTGAATAGTATGAGAAGATAGTTTATGGACTGAGGTAGCAATTGTGATTCTTTTTTTCTAGTGATTTGCTTGATTGAATACAAAATTATTTTTCACCTTTCTTCTATTTGTGTAATGTTTAAATTTTATTACATGTATGGTTTTAGTAAATTGTAAAGCACCTACTTAAAAGGACTGCCCACACGGTACTGACAGTGTTTTTGGTTATTAAATTAAAAAACTTATAACGGTACCGCTAGCACATCCTGGAGCAAAATCAGACATGTTAGACTCAATTACACAAATTGGAATGAAAAATATGGTTGTTGCACATGTTGGTATGTGGTAACTCACCCCCAAAAATACGGAGTAATTTGTAACAAAAAATCGAAGTGCTTGGGGTACACCAAATTGTACCCTAAGTTGTAAACCGCCCCTTCCCAACCACACGTTTCTTATCTAGGATCTAATTATCAGGCCTTGAATAAAAAATGTATGGTGGGAAGAGTGGCAGTGTACAACAACAAACAACAACAACAACAAAGCCTTATCCCACTAACATGGATCAAACGACGCCATTGGGCCCTATCATGTATAATATCTGCTCTGAGATCATTCATGCGAAGGTCTTCTTTGATAAGTGCTTGCCAAGTCCTCTTAGGTCTACCTACCTCTTCTTTTAGTCACATGCCTATTCACCATTCGATCAACCCTTCTCACAGGATGCTCTATTGGTCTTCTCTCCACATGTCCAAACCACCCAAGACGCATTTACACCATCTTTTCTACGATAGGTGCCACTCGAACTTTAGCTCTCATATCTTCATTCCTAATTCTATCCATACGTGTATGACTGCTCATCCAACGAAGCATCTTCATTTTGCCACACTAACCTTGTGTTAATGTTCACCCTTTGCTGCCAACACTCTGTTCCATACAACTGAAAAAAACTTCTCCTTTGCCTCCTTTTCTTATCTATGCTTTGTTGTGTTTTCTTGGCTTGGTGATTGTCTTCTGTATCTTGGCGCTATATTTTCCTATCGATCGAAACGTCCCTCTCTTATAATTTGAGCGGATTGTAAAAGGTTTATATAAACTTCACATCTGAAATCATTATGTCAAATTGTAAGTTGAGATATTTTTTACAATTAAAAATAAAAATATGGAAATTTGTTGTCCTGATTCCGCATTTTGTTTTGTTTAATCTTCTGTATTCTAGAGTATAAATGATTGGCTTCACTAGCCGAGTAGTTGTAGTTCATTTTCTGGCCTCGCTGAACATTTGTGAGCGACTATATCCCAATGTGACTATGTTAGTAATTAGTATGCTATAAATTCTACTTGTTTTTTATTCATATTTGAGCTTTGTATTTTTTTACATAAATATTTGAACTTTGAAAGTCTGGTTTTTTATGATATTATTATGTTTGTATTATTACTTGATATCAAGCACAAGTCATAGATTTCAATTTCATCAATGAAGTGCGACTCGGATCTGTGAGGTGCACACCTCTGTGTCATGCCGCATGGATTTGACAAAAAATGTCTCGGAGTGCCTCGCACATAAAACTTGCACCTGTAAAAACTATTAAAATTTGCAATTATTATCAGGGAAATACCTTAGAGCATTTCTTTTGATTATTAACTCTTTTGTTTTTACACATTTTTTTTTCTATAGAGTGGTATTGTGATATAAATTGTTTTTGTTCCTTTTTCCTTTCATAAATTTCTTAATAGCTTTGAGGCAGTGCTGTCTGTTATCAAGAGACTAGTTCTGAACAATGAGGAAAGAGTATTGCTGATCTACTATTGATTGCCCGGCTGAACGCTGCTGGTGATCTTCTTATATGGATATGCAGATTTACCTTACTCATCTGAGTGCTCCTGCTTAGTTTCTTTTCCCTTTTAGGGTCTGTTTGGAAGGATGGAAAATGACTTCTGAAAAATGATTTCTTGAAAATTAGTTTTGAAAAATGACTTTTTGAAATACAAATTCAGAGTGCTCTTCATTAGCTTGTCTTCCCTTTTAATGATCAATTTTTTTTCCTAATTTGTTTAAAGTTCTATGGATGGTTTAAAGACCTTATCTTGTTACAAAAATCTATCATGTTCTTTGATGACTGT